AGTGCCGGGATAGTGCAAACAGAACATGCATTTCTTTGGACTTAACCCTTGGGAGGAGAATGAAATCTCCGACCTGGAGACAAGAAGAGAAAGGAAAGGCAGGAAGCAGGCGGAGGGAAAAGTTGAAGAAGAAATAAGAGAAGGGTCCATCCTCCAGCGTGGCTGCCTCCTAATCAACGGCTGATTTGCGTGGCGAGAACAGGAGAATTCCCCCTTCCCCCCTGCACTTTCGCAAAACAAGAGAATCATCCCACTGGGCAGGAGGGAAGATATAATGAATCGGATGGCAGAAAGACATGGGCAGAGCCGCCCAAAAGAGAGATAGAGATGGGATATTTCCTCCCTCCCACCTTTTTAATTCTGGGGTAAAGGGGGGGGGATGCTGCCGTTTTAAAAACATTTTTAATTGGGGGAAATAGAAAGTAGATCTGATTTTTTTTAAAGAAAGGAAGAAAGGAAAGAAAAAGGGGAAGAACCCAGAGATTCGCAGCTCTGTAATTATTGTGTCAATTTCAGGATGAAATTAACAAAAATCGACTGGGAGAAGGTCTCCAGCAGTAAAATTTAATTTTACCTTATTTACTTGGGGGGGGGGAGGCCAGAGGCAATCATTGATCATATATATCTATTTATAGTGGGGACGCCAGTGCCAAGTTAAGATAAGGAGTCATTTGCATCTTTTCGTTTTTCGGGTGGGTTTTTTTTTTTTTTAAAGAAATGGTTCCAGGTTTCTCGATGGTCTGGAATTGCCTTAAGCTTTGGAGGGCTTGCGGCTAGAGAGAGTCATGAAAAAGTCTCCCTTTCAAATGTTTCTAGAAATCAGGTGCCTCTAGAAATTAGGGGTACTTTGGGCCACACGTGTGTGTAAAATATAAGACGTCTAGCTTCTCCTAAAATGCATTTACGTTTGAAAATTGGTGGGCACACGGGTGTGTGTGCCAGAATGTAGCTTGGCCTAGTGTGCAAAAAACCCTGGAGCCGGTCCTGTGTGTCTGGTCTGGTCACACTTCCATGATAGAGCAGAGAGTCAAACCTGGGGTCTCCCAAATGCTAGTTTGGCACTCTAGCCACTATACCTCACTGTATTTGAATATGAATAAAGAGTAGTGAAGAAAATAGCATACTTTACTGGTGTTTAAGTGATGCATGCACTAAAGGGAGCTTGACCCCAGAGAAGGCATGTCTGAGAGAAAGTATATCTAATCCGTGCCACAGACATTGTATACCAATCCATCCTGGTAAGGTGAAATAGTTGTTTCTCCTTGTATTTTGGGGCAGACTATGTTTTGTCCGTCTACAGATTGATTCAAATGCATTTTGAAAAGATAAAGAGGAATGGGGGCTCTCAAATGCTCCACTGTTCCATGTTGTAAAACACACAAGGGATGGCACACAACACTAACCTTTTCTTTATTGTCTCTTTAGGTCTAGGTCTCGTCTGATAAGTGAGGTAGATAATTAATATAAATATGGAGTAAAATAGCTCTGGAATTGTGGTACCCATTTGCATTAATATGAATGAATCCAGGTCTTTGGAAGACAACTCGCCTGTTGCTCAGCTTGATGGAAAAATTCCAGCTAATGGTAGTGTAGCTTTTCAGCTGACTGGGCACAGGGCAAGAACACTTAGCCCCGAAGAAGCTGAAAAGCTTGCAAAAGAACAGGTCTTAGTATCTGACTTCAAACAACTGAAGCTAGAAAAAGATGCTCAGAAGAACTGGGATCTGTTTTACAAAAGGAACAGCACCCACTTTTTCAAGGACAGGCACTGGACAACTAGAGAATTTGAAGAATTAAAAGCCTGCCGTGAAGTAAGTTCTATTCACTAAAGCAGCAGAGGGCAATTCAAAACTACTGTAGGAAATACGCAGCCAATCGTTGTTTTATCTTTAGTTACATGAATTTTGTGTGTGTAAGATGGACTTCAGGCTTTGTATTTGATTATTTTTTTTTACTGTGATGTTGCTTTTACAGTTTTCCTGGGCAGACTTACTATAGAAGCTTGTAAGATACTTTTGAAAGTATCAGTTACTTGTTTTTAAAGTAGACACTAGTTCATGACAGTAAAAAGTAAACAGGAATATTGGGCACCTTTAAAGACTAACAACATCTTAGTCCATCATAAGCTTCTTGAGTACAAGAGCCCCATTTCTTCAGCCAGAAGCATACTGTAACCCCAGGATATCTGATGTTGAAACTGTGCAGGGATTGATCTAATCAGTATGTGAATGGGAGATCTCTAAAACTCCATATATGCCCCCAGAACTTTCTCAAGGAAGAAGAGGTACATATAAAATACATTTAAAGTCTAGAATGGGTCATAGGCATACTGTCAACCAGAAAAAATAATTGTAAGAACTCTGTTGTACCATCTTAATTGACTTGGTCTGCTTTCTTTTTAAAAAACATTTCTATCCCACCTCTCTTCCAAAAGACCTGAGGTGGGTTATAATATAGATGTATGTATCTAGATAACAATTTTTTTAAAATATGAAGCAGAATTAAAAACAACCTTAGGACCAAGCTGGTTGATGTAATTACATGAAATTAGCCCCTTTAACAGTGAACATAAGAACATAAGAGAAGCCAATGTCGTCAGTCCAACACTCTGTCGTCAGTCCAACACAATGTCGTCAGTCCAACACTCTGTCACACAGTGGCCAAAAATACCAGGTGATATCAGGAGGTCCAGCAGCAGGGCCAGGACACTAGAAGCCCTCACACTATTGGCCCCCTCCAAGCACCAAAAATACAGAGCACCACTTGCCCCAGAGTCCCTATCTATACCTTGTGGCTAATAGCCACCAATGGACCTCTGCTCCATATGCTTATCTAATTCCCTCTTGAAGCTGTCCATGCTTGTAGCCACCACCACCTCCTGTGGCAGTGAATTCCATGTGTTAATCACTCTTTGGGTGAAGAAGTACTTCCTTTTATCTGTTCTAACCCGACCGCTCAGCAATTTAATGGAGTGCCCATGAGTTCTTGTATTGTGAGAAAGGGAGAAAAGTACCTCTTTCTCTACCTGCTCTGTCCCATGCATAATCTTATAAACCTTAATCATGTTACCCCTCAGTCGTCGTTTCTCCAAGCTAAAGAGCCCCAAGTGCTTTAACCTTTCTTCATAGGGAAAGTGTTCCAACCCTTTTATCTTTCTAGTTGCCCCTTTCTTCACTTTTTCCAAAGCTATAATATCTTTTTTAAGGTGTGGTGACCAGAACTGTACATAGTATTCCAAATGAGGTTGCACCATTAATTTATACAGGGGCATCATGATATTGGCTGATCTGTTCTCAGTACCGTTCCTAATAATCCCCAGCATAGCATTGGCCTTTTTTATTGCAGTCACACACTGTCTCGACATTTTCAGTGAGTTATCTACTACGACTCCAAGATCTCTCTCTTGGTCAGTCTCTGCCAGTTCGGACCCCATCGACGTGTATTTATAGTTAGGATTTTTGGCTCCAATGTGCATCACCTTGCACTTGGCCTCATTGAACCCCATTTGCCACGTTGACGCCCACTTGCCCATCCTCAACAGATGGGCCTCACAATACAGGAGTGCCTCACAATACAGTCCCTGTAACCAACCCTTGACAGTAGCCTAGCTGCTGTATTTTGGACCAGCAGAAGTTTATGAACCCTTTTCAAAGGCATTAATTAAAAAGAATGATTACTAGGATGTTAAACCTTAACTTTGACATGTGAATAAGCTTGAAGCTTCAATCTGGGGGCAAGGGCTGCAGCTCAGCTGTAGAGCATCTGCTTTGCATGTTATAGAAGGTTGCAGGTTCAATCCTTGGCATCTCCAGTTAAAAGTACTAGACAGTAGGTGATGTGAAAGATCTCTGCTTAAGACCCTGCAAAGCCACTGCCAGTCTGAGTAGACCATGGGTGTCAAACATGCGACCCACAGGCTGGATCAGGCCCCCGGAGGGCTTCTATCAGGCCCGCAGTGGAACTGGCTGTCTCTGCTTCTTCTTCCAGTTCTGCTGCTACTGCTACATGATAGCTTGCCTTGCCAGACTCTCAGTCACTCAGGAGAGATAGAAAGGCAAGCTTCTGTTCTCTGCACTGGCTGAGGCTCCTTCCCCTCCCAGGAGGAGAGGGGGAACTAGCCAGAACTTGCTTCCTGGTTAGGTTGCCTCAGTCACACAGGAGACAAAGGCAGGCCTTTCTTCCCCTCCATTAGCTGAGATGCCTTCCCAGAGGGAGGGAGGGAAGGAGGGAGAACTTGTTTTGCTTGGTTGCCTCAATTACACAGGAGAAATACAAAGCACCTTTAAGACCAACAAAGTTTTATCCAAGTTATGAGCTTTTGTGTGCCTTGCTGCAGTGTGTGTGTTTTGTTGGGCTTGTTATGCTGTGGCTCTTATGGGTGCAGCTGGGTTCCCTTCCCCTTTTCACTGTATCCAAGCCCTCATGATCCAGTCTTTCTCAGTAGGAAAGCAATGTGAACTATGCAGATGAGGAATAACAACAAACCAGTGAGGTGGATTAGGCTGAGAGTGTGTGTCCAGACCAAGTTCACCCAGCACATTTCCTTTGGGGATTTTGAATTTAGACTTTGCAGATAGTAGGCTGATAAGGACCACTGAGGAAGACTGTAGTTTTGTAGACAAACACACAGTCCTCAGTCTGTGTTGTGGTGCCTTCTTGACCAGCACACGAAGCAATTTATCTACAAAAGTTTGCAATGCCCAGCCATTTCATGTTTTCCCCTGGGTCCTCCTAGGCTCAGAACTCTGAGCATGAGATTTCTGTAGTGAATGTCAATAAATCAAAAGTAGGTTTGCAGCTTACAGATACACACCTGATTAGCATACTCAAGATTGCAACAGCACAGACATTTTGATGCAGTAATTCAGAGCAAGAGGTGTCAGTTATCAGACACTGTTAAATAAACAAAATATAGCAAGAGTGCTGTTTTAAGCATGCTTTTCTTTTAAGTAAAAAAAAAAATTGTGTTTGTGTCCTTTATAAAATTTATATCTCCACTACCTGACATTAAATTTTATGACACACATGGCCCGGCCCAACAAGGTCTCCTTTATTTCAGAACCACCCCTGGAGTAGACCATACTGACCTTCATGGACCAGTGGTCTGATTCAGTGTATGCTGATGTTATTTAATGGCTGAGGATTTGTTCTGCTTTGAAGGGATGTAATAAATTATATATTTTCTCCTAGTTTGAACATCAGAAACTGACGATTCTTGAGGCTGGCTGTGGTGTTGGTAACTGTTTGTTTCCACTTCTAGAAGAGGATTCAGATACCTTTGCTTATGCATGTGATTTCTCCCCCCGAGCTGTGGAATATATAAAGGTTGGTAAGATTGGATCCCCCCCCCCAAAAAAAAGAGGTGCTTAGCAGTGCATCCCTGAGCAGAATTACATCCTCTTAAAGCAGAGGTACATCCTTCTAAGTCCACTGTGGTCTGTGGGCTTATAAGGGTGTAATTTTTATTCTTATTTTATTTATTCGTTTCATACCCCGCCCTCCCCACTGAAGCAGGCTCAGGGCGGCTTACATAAAATTGTTAAAACTGTGTGTGTGAGAATTTGTTTGTTTTTAAAAAATGGGTGATGAAACAGATCAGGAAAAAGAGTGGAAGAGATTGTATCGAGTCTGGATGATTTTAATCAAACTGTTCGGAGTCTGATGCTCTATTCTTGTTCATACAATCAGGGAGCCTAAAATAGCCTTCCTTTAAATCATTTTAGCCCTGCATTTGATTGAAAAAAATGATTAAAATCTGAGACTGAAAAACTAAACAGTATGAAGATGATCCTTAGATAATCAGGACATCTTTTCACTTCTATTTCAAGATGCAGTAACAGGAATAAAAACTGCTGAGGGTCTTTTGCAGAACTGCATTGTTTATATTGTGTATAAATTAATCATGGTGCAGTGAACACCTAAGGGGGATAAGCTATGATCCTATACATGTTTACTTGACAATAAGTATGTGCTCAACAGTGCCTGCTCCAAAGTAAATACACCTGGCTCAATCGAAAACATAGGGCTGAACAGGAATCAAATATCCTATTTACACACAGAGTAAATAAAAGCAAACTGGCCTTAAATAAGTATTTACTTTAACATTCCTGAAACACAACCATCAAAGGGTAGAAAATATTATTCAAAAGTAGAACATTAAAAAAACATTTCTAAATAATAAAACCAAACTCTCCTTTATACATTTTGATTAAGATTGATGTGACTGTGTTTTCTGTTATTATACAGAAAAACAGCACTAATACTCTGTCGCTTAACAATAGATCTCCCAAGGACTGTATTGAGGGCCATAGAAGAAAGTGCCTCAGATCTACTGGAAACAAAATGTTCTGTTGCGTTTGTGGGGGGGGGGGGTTTGCACACTTGCAGATTGCGGCTGACCTATGTTCAGTTTGTGCTTATGAACTTGTAAGGATTACTAGTATTCGGGAAAGAGGTTCTGGTCAAATTAAGGACTCTGGGATGGATGCAAGTATCTCCAAAGACCCGTGAGAAAAGATGCTGTGCATCTTAAATTATAGTTCCTTGTGTGCAGATGATTTTGAAAAAATTGGGTTTAATTCTAGACCAAAATCTTTAATACAAGCCAGCCTAGCACAATTAAGGAGAGGGTTTCCGTAGTGGCCAACGTGAAAACTAATTCATGGCTATGAATCCCCCGAGCACTGGCCCCAATTCAAATAGGTTACTGACACAGGCGATGAGAAAGCTGTTATGTATATAGCTGGGGCACAGTTTGCTCTCCTTTGCTGAAAAAGCACTGGCAGCTGGCATCACTCGCTGCTGTTGAGTTCAGGAGGCAGTTTGTCTTGTCATTCGTCAGATCTGCTGCTGCTAAAACTGCAAAGCAAGCTCCAAATGCAGTTTGGCTGTCTTGGAAGCTCATAAATAATTCTTCTGGGATCAAGTTTATTTCTAATTGGTATATAACAGTCTTTGGCAGTTCCATCAATACAGCATCAAGAAATACAATGGAAGCTTTGTTATCAGTTTGGTGTAGTGGTTACGGTAAGTGCGCGGACTCTAAACTGGGAGAACCGGGTTTGATTCCCCACTCCTCCACTTGCACCTGCTGATGTGACCTTGGGTCAGTCACAAGCTCTGGCACAGCTGTCCTTGAAAAAGAGCAGTTTGTGTCAGAGCTTTCTCAGCCCCTCCTGCCTCACAGGGTGTCTGTTGTGGGGAGGGGAAGGGAAAGGAGTTTGTAAGCCGCTCTGAGACTCCAAGTGAAGGGCGGGGTATAAATCCAATCTCTTCTTCTTCTTCTTCTTTAGGCACTTGATTATCCAGAACACTCAGTTAACTAGCATTGTCCAGAGGGCAGGCTTCTCATCCTCAGCCAACATACCCCTCCATTTTTGCTTCCACGTGGCATCCTGCTCCTGCCTCTCCAGCTAGTCAGCTTGATGCCCCCAGTTGTTGCTGGGCTTCTTCTGACAGCCAGTACTGCCAGCTGAAATCATCCTCAGGTCCTTCCTTCCCCCTGAGCCTGCCTTGACCTGTCAGGAATCAGGATCCAGCTCTGCCACAGGCTCCCAGGCAGGTGACCTGCTTGTCTGCCTGTAACATAGGATGGCTCCAGGAGAAGACGAAAGATCTCACCAGGCATGTGGGTTGTCACCCTGGCCCTCCCAACAGGATGGGGTTTTGTCACTGTGGATTTCTCTGGGTAGGGGGCAGTAAAAAGGTACAGGTAAAGGTTTCCCTTGCTCGAAAGCCAGTCAAATCCGACTCTAGGGTTGCGGTGCTCATCTCCGTTTCAAAGCCGACGAGCCAGCACTGTCCGAAGACATTTCCATGGTCATGTGGCCAGCATGACTAAACACCAAGGCGCACGGAATGCTGTTACCTTCCCACCAAAGTGGTACCTAGGGGCAGTACAGACCAATAAACACAAGTATCCAGCACATTAGCCTTAGTTGGCCACCCCCATTTCCTAAGAGTGTTGGATATTATTATTATTAGGAATTGTGTATAATATAGCCAGGAGATCCTAAGATTGTCTGGCAGCCAGAAGTTCTAGCCTTTTTAGCATTACGCATCACTAGGTGGTGAGCGAGACTTGTTTTTAAGGCAAGAGACCATTCAGAGGTGGTTTGCAGTTGCCAGCCTCTGCATCATGACCCTGGTATCCCTTGGAGGTTGCCTTTCCAAATACTAGCCTAGGCCGTCCCTGCTTAATTTCCGAGATCTGACTGGATTGGGCTAGCCTGGGCTATCCAGTTCAGGGCAGTGTTGGATACAAAGCTTTTACTGAACTTTTGAAGTCAACATTGCCCAAAATCACTGGCAACAAATTCTTATTTATGTTAGTTATCTGCATCTCAGCTGACCGGGGTGGGGGTGGGGTGGGACTATTGTATTGGTAAGAACACAGAGGCCTTTGAGCAAATTAGGAACTTGCTAAATTAAGAAATTATGTTATTTCTGAGATGTTTCCTGCACAGTTCAAATTCTTTACTTCAGAAGGTAAACATTTTGGTTGCAAATGTCTAAGGAAAAGTATTTTCTCTTTATAGCAAAATCCTTTGTACGATACCCAGAGATGCAAAGTATTCCAGTGTGACCTTACCAAAGACGACCTTCTGGAGAACATGCCACCCAATTCTGCGGATGTTGTGATGTTAATATTTGTACTTTCTGCTGTTCATCCTGAGAAGATGCGCCTTGTTTTGAGCAACATTTACAATGTGAGCAAGCTTGTACTAAATAACAGCTGGGGTTTTGTCATGGAACTGCCTTTTGTATGGTTGCCACTCATAATGGTATTTGTGGGGGCCCTTCACACAGTACATTTCTTGCCTGTGTGGGCAGCCCTGGCTATGCCCATCATAGGGCCAATGGAATGTGTGTTGGTGAACGTTATCTGAGAGGTAGCTGGTAGCAGCCTCCATGGTCTCTGTTATTCCCACCAGGGAATAACATGGCTGCTGGCAAAACTTCACTGAAATGATCATGGAAGTTGTGACTGGTCATGGCTGCATGGCTCTGATCTCACATACTGCATTAGTGTGTGAGTTTAGGAAAAGCCAGGGATTAAAGCATGGAATTTAAGAAATAGTATTGTCAGGGCTCTTCATTTTAAAGACAAAAGTGCTGTCCTCTGGCAATTAGAATTTTTTAAAAATTGAATTCTTGACCTATATAAAGTACTTAATTTGAGAATATAGGCATAATTTACCTTACTTTGCATAATTCTACTATTTTCATCGTGGAGGGGCAATGAATTGAAGACTGTTACTGAAGCCCTTTCCCCAGATATTAGTTCTTAGCTTGATGAGAGATCCAAATTTGATTGAACTGTTTATTCATTTAGTGCATTTGTTGAAATGTATTTCTGATGTAGTCAGTCTCATCTTTTGGGGGGTCTAGAAAATGCCATACCCGTGGGCTGTTTCTCCTTAAATTTTAAGCGGCCAACTTATGTTTCATTACTGTCAGATTTAAACAGATGATAGGAACTGCAGCTGGGATGTGAATGGTATTTAGGGAAATGATGATGGGCCCTTTATCAATACAAAAACATGAATAGAGAATAATACAATGCCATGTTTAGAAAAAGATGATTTGTTTATTTATTTATTTATTTATCAAATTTATTTATCAAATTTATACCCCGCCCTCCCCCGTAGGGCTCAGGGTGGCTTACAAAGGCAAGATAACCTTGCTACAATAAAACATAATATACTTATAGTTTAAAACATACTATACATCTTAAAATCTAATCCTAATTCAGGTAAAGTGCTCAGTATTTATTGTATTTAGGAATTGCCCAATCCCTGTGATATACAAAAGCCATAAAACAAAGACAAGATGTAACCAGTTCGAACATTAATAAAACATTTAAGCGATCAGACGGCGATTGATTAATCAATCCCAATTCCAACTGCCGGCTGCTTCGCAGGCAGGGGGGAAGAGGGCAAGGCAGATGTAAATAACAGAGACCAGAGAAGGGTGCCAGCCAAGAGAGAACCACCGCTGTCCTCAACCAAAAGCCTAGTGGAACATCTCTGCCTTGCAGGCCCTGTGGAATTGCATCAGATCCCACAGTGCCCTGGTGGTGCTTTGCAGAGAGTTCCACCAGGCTGGGGCCAGGACCAAAAAGGCCCTGGCCGAGGACAGACAGATTTCCTTGGGGCCGGGAACCACCAGGAGATTGCAGTCTAAGGAGCACAATGTTCTCCCAGGGACATAACAGAGGAGATGGTCCCATAGGTACGTTGGTCCCTGACCGCTCAAGGCCTTACCGAAACCTTGGACTTGCCTTGGTATTCCATTGACAGAGATCGTTCTATGAAACAGCATCCAAAGTTAGCAAAGGTATTTATGGTTTATAATCTTAGAAGTAAAATAGTATTTTTGTTAAAATATGTGAAGGAACTGAGCTGTAACGATGCAAAATGTTTCATTTTTACTTTGTAGTAGTGGGCTTCTATGTTTAAAGCATCAGTTTCATGTACCTATCTGCCTTGTCAGGTGTTAAAACCAGGCAAGTGTGTGCTATTCAGAGACTACGGCCTCTATGATCATGCAATGCTGAGGTTTAAGTCTGCAAACAAACTGGGAGAAAACTTCTATGTTAGACAAGATGGAACAAGATCATACTTTTTCACAGATGGTAAGACATTTGATAAAAACGGCTGCATTTACGTTTTGCTTCCTTGAATCGCCACATGCCTTGTAGGTTTTCTACTAAGTATGAATCATAGGACGTAGCAGTCACTTATCTAAAAGACCATTCCTGCCTTATGTTCCCATGCACGAGCTGCATTCCACCTCCTGGCTGCTCCTCCACTTGAGGTGGTCCCACCTGGCATCCACCAGAGCCATTGTAGCACCCACAGGAGGGTGGGGGGGCCATCTTTAGAAATCTCTCTGGGGCACTGCAAGTCCTTTTTTTGGGGGGGCAGGGTTTTTAACAAGGTTTTAAGCTGTAAGCATCTTTGGGGGTGGGGGGTGGAATCTGGGGCAGTTCATTTAGAATGTGCATTTGCACTCCCTGTTTCTGCGTCCCCCGGCTCTTGGTAGCAGATTAATTGAAGGAGGAGAGTGAGTCAAGCAGCGCGCAGCAACATCTCTATCGGGCTCTAATTCTGATGTTGTCGCTGATGCAGCCGGGAAGATGGGTAGTGCTGGGGCGCTAGTAAGTGCGTTTTAAAAGCAGTACAAGACCAAAGGCTTACTTTTATATATTACAAAAGGCCTTCAATCAAAGCCCGTCAAGGATAGGATACTTAATGGCCATAGTTGCTCTAGGCACTGTGTGTACTTGGCATGATAGCAGTATAGCAAAATGTGATTGTACGTGTCACATGGGGCTCTTCACCAATACGATTTGCACCGGGAGGGAAGGGGCAGAGGTCAGATTAAACTGCTCTCCTGTTTAAATTAGATGACATTAACTTTTTTTCATGGAGTTCATGCATAGGCACGTGCCTAAGAACAGTACTACTGAAATACAAACAGAACACGCACACACATATATAGAAAATAAGTGTATGCCAAACCCCCCCGGTTGTCCCCCCACCCCAGTCAAGCAATCTGCTGTACGTCGCAGGCTTTGTTTGAGAGGAGCAGGCTGTGTTGTTAGGACCTCTGCCTTCTCTTGTTTACATTTCCATTTAAACTTTATTTGTTTTCCCCCCCTTTTTTCTCTTCAGAGCTCTTGGCTCGACTCTTCCTGTCTGTGGGATACGAGGAAGTGATCAATGAGTATGTGCTGCGAGAAACTGTGAACAAGAAGGAAGGCCTGTGTGTGCCAAGGGTATTTCTCCAAAGCAAGTTTCGAAAGCCTGAAAGGGAAACCTGACTTTTCCTTCCAACAGTCCGGCAAATGTTCTGTAGAAGCGGCTTTCCTTCTGCTGTCAGGGTGTCTGGAATGCCAGAGGGATGACGCTTTCGGAAGTGGCTGCCTGCGGCTTCGTGACCCTTAAAATAAAAACAGTGGGTGGCTGTCATGCCTGGACCACTGATGGAGGGTTTGACTTGGACTGTGGAAACTCCGGTTCAAGTCCTGCTCAGCCATGAAGGTTGCTTTGAGGCCTAGCGGCCAGTCATCTCTCAGGCTACTTTACACAAAAGCCTGTGTGCTGCATTTTTAAAATGTTCCATTTTTAAGGACCTCTTTGGCAACAGAAGGAAGAATTCATAGAAGGTTCATAAATGCCTTTGTCATAATTTAATTGTCTAACTGGATCTCGTGAACGATAGATATCCATGTTTTCATTTAAAATGGTTTTGTTTACTGCCTTTGGACCATTCTTTCTGAGCTACCATGGTTCAGTGGTTAAGACTGGCCGGCTCTAATCTGGAGAACCGGGTTTGATTACCCACTCATCCACATGAAGCCCACTGGGTGATTTTGAGCCAGTCACACGTCTCTCAGCCCCACCTACCTCACAAGGTGCCTGTTGTGGGGAAAGGAAGGGAAGGCGATTGTAAGCCACTTTGAGACTCCTCAGTGTAGAGAAAAGCGGGGTCTAAAAACTAACTCTTCTTAATGTAAAATCTTTCAGCAAGCCATTTTCTGGCAGCTTAAATGAATCTACCTTTGTCTGCAGATGTCCAGGGCTTTGGGGGAGGGGTCACATCAGTGTTACCGCTAATAGTCTGCCTTGTTGTTGGGGGAAATTAGCTATGTGGCAGGGGAGACCAGAGGGGTACAGAGATCGCACACCAATTGTATACCAAGGTCAGGTACAGTAGGAAGACTCCAGAATTGAGGGGTAAATTAAATTGATTTTATTAAAGAACTTCCCTAATTACAAGCACTCTAAGCATTCAAAAAGAGCAATCAGTTCAGAATAAATAAAACAGATGTGATTGATAGTGTATAGATAGGTCAGTTATGGGGTGATAACAACCTGTCCAGATGTGCAGAGGTCCTTGAAGAGAGAATAGCACCAACAGCCAGCGTTATGCGCTATGGGAGGGCCCCCCCAGAGAAGAGACTCTTGGGGTGTACTTAAAGTATAGGCGCCATCCTGAGGGCACACCAGGATGGCCATGTGTGTGGATGGGTATAGATCTTGGAATAGAATGCTGACCAGTGGGAGGTCTTGAGGGGCTTGTCTCGGGTGAAGACAAAAGATTATCAAACCAATCGGGTCCCAGGGAGTGCAGCCTCAGGAGGGGCCAGGTCTAGGTGTGATGAATGAGGTTCCAGAGGGGCAAAGTCTGGATTAGCAATAGCGATGATGGGATTAGCCAGGTACTGGGTGGCTAGCTGAATGGGTTTGCTGACCACTAATGGTCCAGTCAAGGTAGATTGAATAGGTTCCCAGGTTTACACAAAAGGTGGGAGATAGGTCTCTGATTAGCATCAGGAAGTATGGCTAAACATATGACTATATGATTGGTTTATCTCGGTATCCTGAGGGAAGGAGCAGGAAAGACAGTTGTGAAGACAAAGGATTCTCACGTAGACATGGGTGCACACGAAATGGGGAAGTTCTGGAGACAGAAGGGCTATTCGCCAGGTGGCCTCTGAATAGCCTTTAGATATGTAGCTACTTTACCTGGTGGAAGTGCCATTGTTTCATATGCATACCTTGCTGGGTGGCGGGAGAAGACCGGAGGTTTGCTCTGAGGGCTGTCTTATGTCACCTGGAAAATGGAGACCCCCCTTTTCCAGAGCTTTGGCTCGCTCTGTGTCTCAGAACCAGGAGTGCCTTCCTTGGCCTGAGTTTGTGGGTCTCTGGTTCAGGTTAGAAATGGGGTGCCCCTGCTGCTGGGGCTACCCTAGAGTAAGGCAGCGCCTCTAGCCTATGTCACCGTCTCCTTCCCCTGCTTCCCACTGTCGTCCTATCCCGGTCCAAGGGCCAGCTGGTAGACCTGATCAGGAGGAGAGAGAGCAGAAGTGCCTTGCAAATGGGTGCGTGGACTATGGGGAAGAGTTCCCAGCCCCTTTCGGGCCTCAGTAGGAGCTGCTTTTTCCTTCTCAAGAGTGATGCGTGTCTTGTTGTTGTTGTTCAGTCGTACAGTCGAGTCCGACTCTTCATGAACCCATGGACCAGATCACGCCAGGCCTTCCTGTCTTCCGCCGTCCTCTGAAGTTTGCTCAACTTCATGTTCATTGCATCTATGACACTGTCTAACCATCTCATCCTTTGCTGTCCCCGTCTTCTTTGACCTTCAATCTTTCCCAGCGTCTAGATGCGCGTCTAGTAGAACAGTATTTGACTTGGACCAAAGAATCCTCTGCTCAACTCCCAACTCAGCCAAGAAAATCACTAAGTGGCCTGTGGAGCCAGTCACCCTCTCAGATCAATCTGCTTTACAGGGCTGTTATAAGAATGCAGTGGGGGAAAGCACTCTGTAGGTCACGTCAAGCTTCTGCGAATAAACGTGTGATACAAAGGGGGTAGATGTTGGGGCTGCAAGTGATTGACTTGCTGACCCCCTTCCCCATAGGACAGAATGCCTGGGCTACTGAGGAGCGAATCATTTGACGCTGAGGGAAGACTTGCCTTAAGCAGGTGGACCACATGATGGTGGTTATGTCAGGCTGCCAGAATGCTAAGCCAGAGCAGAGGGCAACAGAGATCACTTGCCATGGCTATATTGCGGCAATGTGTTTTGTTAGACTCCACCAGTCGTGTTCAAAGTATGTAAAAAGGTAGCTTAGCTCTTCCAGCACATGCCTGTGGGCGAAATAGAGACTGAATGTCCATAACTCTTGACCCAAAAGCCATGTGATTCCTTTTATCATGACAAGTGGTAACAACACAAAATGGTTTGCTAGCTTTTCGACAGCCAGAATTCTTCATCAAATGTCTCTCAGGCATGCACCAAATGAAGCACACAGATCCTTTAAGGCTAAAGGCAGAAGAAATGTGTTATGTTAATAATGGAGAGTAATTATACATGGGACTAGGTAGAGTTGGTGCAGTATTCCCTCATACACGGGGCAGAAATCTATAAGCATTGTTCTCTCATGGTATACTGTCAAGTAATTGCTTCGGGTCTATAATGAAAAAGATGGACCTTACATATGCAAGATCTGGGCCCCGTCTTCTCTGAATCAACCTCAAGACGAGTGAAAGCTAAGCACTGCATAAAAACCTGAGAAAATAGTGTACAAATTTAAAATCATCTCCCTCCCTGCAGGACTGATATTTTCTTCCACTAGGTGGCGCCATGCACCAGTTTCCTGACTCCTCGCTGCAGCCGTGAAAAGCCAAAGAATTGTTGATGCCACTTCACAATTTATTATTGCCTCTTTCTCTAAATTCTGGCACTTAAAAAGTGATTAAAATTAGAAGCAACTGCAAAAGAGTGTTAATTAAGGGGAATGTTCTTTAGTAAGGTCTCCAGGGAGTAAGTGACATCTCTGTTCCTAATTGCCGGTTTCGGCTGTGAAGCAGTAATGCTATCTGATGGAAAACCTGAAGTCTAATTTGGTTAGTAGGAGATTTTTCTTTAAAAGAAAAAAAAAACCGGTTCCAACTAAAGGGAAAATCTTTTGTGTTACCTCTGGACTGCCCAATGTATAGTGGCACAATCTGCATATAACCCATAATTTCCAGCTACATGAACAAGCCCTGGTGGTTCTCTAATTTTTTTAACTACTTCATTTATACCCCACCTTTCTCCCCAGTGGAGTCCCAAGGCAGCTTACAGCATTCTCCTCTATTTTATCTTCACAACAACCCTGTGGGGTAGGTTAGGCCAAGCTTGTGTGACTGGCCTAAGGCTTCCATGGCATAGTGAGAATTCGAACCCAGCTCTTAGTCTGACACTAACCACTAAGCCACGCTGGCTGGTTTGCTCTCTCTGTCTCTCTCTCTGTCTCTGTCTCTCTCTCTCTCTCTCTCTCGTCATGCACAGTCATGCACAACCAGCTAAGGACCAGGTCTTGCAGTAAACCACCATTTATGTCCCCAGCATGTGTCCGATGTAACACAATCACGTGTGAGTTTTATGTTCTCAGTTTCTGCACTTGTGGTGCCCAATTAGTGTCATTTTGCATGTGGAGAAGGAAGTCAGCTTTTCAACCTAAAACAGTCTTGGAGGTACAGTATTTGGGGAAACATGCACATCCCCTGGGATACATGTGGGCTTTCTCAACATGTCCAGTAACACCTCAGCCCCTGACTCTTTCAGGCTAGGAACACAAGAGGGGAAGAACAAAGGCCCTTTGCGATGTGTGCCAAGGCCCTGATCCTAGTCAGGTATGGCATGCATGGGAGTTAACCCGGAACACCCATGTGATGGTGTTACATCTGATGCAGGGTAGGGAACCCAGACATAACCTTTGTATGCCATAACATATGATGATTTGGTTACCTTTCTGGGTCTTTGGATGTTAGTAGCATTTCCTGCAAATCTTTAAGCTTATTTTTGCAGTCATAGGAGTTAGGGACTTAGTTTTACAAAGCTGAATTCCCCTGGAAACTGCATTTTGTATTCATTACCGCACTGCACATCTTTATGGCACACCCACAAATTTGCAGTGTTCACACAGTCCAAGGTCATATCCTCCTACAGAAAGTGCAACATTGATTTGAGTAACTGGAACATGTTACTAGGAACAGCCTCTGGGCAAGGACCTAGCAACGCTATGGGACGAAGACTTTTTTTTTTTTTTAAAGAGGGGCTGAGCTTCAGTGGTAGAACACAGTGGACAGAAGGTCCTGGGCTCAGTCTCAGATGTCTTTAAAGGGACTCTGGTTGCAGGGTAAACCTTGCTGAGTCCCTGAAGAGCCACCCCACTGCCAGCCATGGACTGATGGCCTACAGCAATTTCGTATATCTGACAGAACCATTAACCAAGGTGAGGTAGCCACTAGCAAAACTGAAGCAGCAAATGTCCAGTTACTAAATTACCCCATGCAGGAGGTGCCGTGTGAAAGCTGACACTTATGTGGAGGGGGCATGTGTGCTGTGTTGTACTGGTAGTACCAGGAGCTGTGTGCAATAAGGGTTGCTGCTCATAATTTAGAAGAACTGTCAATCCTCTTGGTTTGTAGTACAAGCCACCTATCCATGCCCATTCTTTCTTCCCAGCTCTCATGAAGGAACTCCCAAGGTTCAATAAAGAACCACTGGATTCCTCATATCAACAGCTTTAAAACAAAACAAAACAAAACCCTGCAGTTTAGGAGGAGGAGGAGGAGATTGGATTTATACCCCACC